TCTCCAACGTTTTCCTCACCGTCTGACGCGACCAACACGGCAACATACAACATTCCAAAAGCATTCATGCAAAGCAAACATTCCTATCATTAGAACAGTACACCAACAGTATTGAAATCAAGATAAAATGTTTGTAAAACTACTCTACGTTTACCTCGATCACGTCAACGCGAAGTTCACGAGCAAAGCGGAGCTAAAATGCGAAAGTTATGATTAAAACGGGTTTTCCTATAGCCCTATATTTAATTAAATCTAACATGAAATTAAAAAGTTCCAAACTTGACTAACAGTGGTTCTAACATGTAGATTATGGAATTACGAAACCAACACGATTTGAACGGATCAATTCGGAGCTAAAACGAAGTTTTTATGAGCAAAACAAAATCAGTGGCAAAATTGTAATTAAGGGAAACGTATTTTGAATCTGATAATGGAGATCTACGTTTTCAGAAAGAGAAAACGTAAAACTAGAGTACGCTAAGCACCGCGGGTTCTATTTCGGGAAAAGGGAGGGGCTCTTTAACAAATTTGCCACGACGAAAGGGTATCGGCCATCCTAGGCCGTTGGATCAAGGACGAATGGCTCCGATTAGAGATGGGAAGGAGAGAGAGAGTGCGCCGGCAGGGAACAGGGGCAGCCGCGGTGGCTCTCCATTGCCGGCGGCGAGGAGCTCGCCGGCGTGGTCGGTTAAGGCCTTACGGGCCATGGTGTGACCAACCGAGGCCACGAGGATGATGCGGGGAGGATGGCGAGTCCATCCCAGGACAAAACACGGCCGGGGAATGGCTCGCACGGCGCCCGCCATGACCGGCAGCGAGGAGGAGCTTCCGGCGCGCTTTTAACAACCATACAAGGCACCAATTGCCAAAGGAAGCGGTCGGGGAAGGAGAGGAGGGCACGGTGAATCTCACCACGGAGAAAATCGGAGGCGAACACGGCTCCGGAATGGCGGTCCACGCGGAGGGACGGACGGCGGTCGGCTGAGCTCGGAGACCTCGGGGCGGCGGTTTTCTCGGGCACGGCGACGCGAGAGGGAGCGGGGATCAGCAGCAGCGGGTGCGGGGACGGCCTCGGCTTCCTTTTGTAGAGGCAAAGGCGCGGCGCTCCCACGATGGCGCAAGACGTGGCGCGAGGCGGTTGCGGCTTCTTGGCTTGACCGGCACGGCGAAGCGGGAGGAGGGAGAAGCACTGGCAAAGCGGGCCGGATGGCAAATGTTGAAAACGAGCAGCCGCAGGCAGCGATTCTGCAGAGCTCACGGTGCAGGGCTGGCGGCTTCTTTGGCTGGCGCGGGCGGCAAGTAACCAGCTCGCGCCCGAGTGGGCCGGCCCAGGAAGAAAGCGGGAAGAGGGGGAAAAGGAGAAGGCGCGCGGGCCGGCGGGAGAAAGGGCCTGCGGGCCGAAATGGAGAAGGGAAAGGAGGGAATGGAAAGAAATTTCCTTTTTTTCTTTTTATAAATAATTTTTTTTTCCAATCTCATTTTCAAGGTAAATTTGAATTCAATTCAAATTTTAGTCAAAGCTAATCATTACAAAAACAAATGCGCAGCAGCATGAATGCATGAACATGTTTCTATTCCTTATATTTGATTTTAATTTCCCAAAAATTATTAATTTCCTATATTTGAATGCACTCAATATAACATAAATAAATCAAACTTACTATTTTAAAAGATTGCAAATTTTAGGGTGTTACACGTACGTATTTCAATCTTCCAGATCCTTGTTCACACACTACACAAGTTGATCATGCATTACACTGGATTTACTAACATGCTAGGTGGGACATCATTCAACTAGCTAGTTCAAGTGAAGTTGTGATGGCTGGCGCGCAGCTTTTGAAATAAACAGAAGCTTGTTAAGGCACATTGGAATTAGCTCTGGTCTGACACCAAATAAACAGAAGTTCATTGTGGCTGGAATGACATGATTTGAAGTAAACAGAAGTTTGGAGTCAAATGGGAAAGGGCAATAAAATTTCCTCATCCATTAACCAGAAGAATTGGCAGTAAACCAATTTTCTTGGTATCAGGCTCTTGGTCACATGGAGTACAATGGTTGGGGTGGGGCAAATGCTTATGGGGCAACCTTTCAGCTGTCCAGGTCTTTTTACATCAACATAAACTCCCACAAATTCTTCTAAGGCTAGACATTTTGAAAGCGTTTTTTGACTCAGTGTCATGGTCTTTTTATTGGAAGTGTTGAGACACGTGATTTTGGCCTAATTTGGAGGAATCTCATCTGAGTAGTTCTCTATAATTCTTCAACAAGGGTGCTCCGTAATGGTTTAGCAGGAGAAGAGATTGCAAGCCAGCAGGATTTGCAGAAGGAAGATCCGCTGTCCCCAACACTGTTTAATAGACACTTTCAGCTAATTTCTTATATTTTCTTGATGTTTTATGCTTAAATTGTTTGTAATTCTAATTGCACAACTGGTACTTAATCTTTTAGTAATTTTTCTCTGACTGATATGTATTGAAACTCAAAATTAGTTGGAGAAAAAAATTGTTCCATCATTGTACATAACAAAAAATAGCATAGTGCCTGATAAGATTCAAAGAAACAAAGTACTTGATGTGCAACGTTAGAAACAAACAGAACTATACATACCTACTTTGCTGTTATACTTACTAAATAGATACTCAGTCATCAAAAATATTTTATTCCTAAATGAGCAAGGGTTACTTTGGATCTAGTCAAAACTTAGTAAACCCAACCTTAGCACAAGTATCTCGAACTTTATTCCAATCGATCTCATAATATGGTATTTTATAGATTTCCTCTCTTATTGACAATATGGTTGGTGTAATTGGCCCAACAAACTTCTTGCCATATAAATAAGCCATTGGCATATATATCAACCGGCAGAAGCACCAGAAACGTCCTACACAAGAAAACATCTTGTTTGATTTTAAGAAATGGACATTAAATGACAAATATATTATGACAAGTTTTTTTTATGTCATAAGAGGAGATAGAGTTATCTATAACTGTATACTTTATGCAAATTCAGATTAGGTGTATGTAAATGCCCCAAAATTCATTGGAATTTAAACATAATAATAGATTTCACGTCCAAAGAATGTTTTCAACATTTAGATTACAAAATTTAGATAAATTATATCTTTGAGGGTAAATATTTATTTATTCTTGTTTCTACATAGGTAACAAGTTTAAATTAGTATCCAAAACCAATTACTGATAATTACGATTCAAGTGTCCACCCAGGTTGATTCTATTCTCCATGTCCTAAGAAAAGTAATTAGAGGAATGCTATTTTATCGTAAAATCCCATTTAGTATGAGTGCTTATTAGATATTCCACAATCCTCAACCTAATATTAGTCATATTCTTGCAAATTCAAAATTTTATCATAGCAACATGACCGTGTTTCTATGGATAGACATGGGAACATAAAAAGTATTAGCGAGTATAGAAATTGTTATGTAAAGTAAAAAATACAGTTCTTGCCAAGCCATGTATATATTTCAACAAATCAATTTATAGCATAGTATTTAATGACTGACTATAATGACTAATGTGATAGTAATAATTAATATGAAAAGTTGATACTTGATGTAGGGAGTGACCTTACCTGTCTATGGTAAAGTTAAGTTATAATTGTTCTAAGAAACAAACATATACCTGGATGAAATGGAAGAGAATATGGAACAAGCCACAACTCAGGAATGATCGAATTATTCCCGTTCCAGTCATATAAACCGATCACCTCCAGTTGGAAAAAAGGCAATAATTAGTTCCTTCTTGGTCACTAGATATTAGTTTATATAAATCAAATAGCTGCCCTTATCTAAAAAAATCAAATAGCTGCAGCTGGAATTCGGCCATCATTATTTAGACCCTAGGAATTGAACAGAGGAAAGGATGCTCCACGAAACAAAGAAACAATCATGACTAATCTTTTGTTTAGACCCTACCTATCCACAATTGCAAAGTGAACATCAATGATTCTGTGGTATATATAATATGTAACAGTTATTAAAGGGAAACAGAGTAATATTTTAATGTGAAACCCACTTTTAACTTGAGTTAGCAATGGACTTCTCAACTATCTATAATAATATAATAACTAAGTATTAACACTACATTTGAGCACCATGGTGCAATCCACCATTTTCAATTGATATCCATCTGAAATCTAATTAGTTTTCATAAAAAAATAAGAAAAATGAAAGAGCACTGACATTCAATTACTGAGTAGGAATCTTTCTAAATGCCACAGCCTTGCTAAATTCTTCACTATAACCCATCTATACGATCCCCTATTACATCCCTTTGGTTTATTAGCGGACTACTCGACCCTGAGTTCCCAAGAATTTGTACTATAAGGTTGTGCATATAACCTTATGCAATTCATGTATAATACATCTGTGATAACTGTGTTTTGTAAACCCTTCATTTTTAAGGTCAACCATAAAACAAATTTAAACAATGCTTCAGCTTTACTTAACTTCGCATTATACTTTAACTTTATTCTTTTCCTACTTCAAGATAGTTCAAATAGAAGGTTTACATTAAACTAATACCACTATACCACAGTCAACAATTAGCGTCGGATAACGGTCACTAAAATAGAATATTAACGATCAACAATCATAGCAGGTTTCCCTCCCTCTGTTTGTCCTCCTCGTTGGGACTTACGCGCTCATCAACTACCAACCCCACTAATTAGCATGTTTCCTCTACCTGCCCCACCTCTTGCAGGTGCCACAGGTTAAATATTCATCTAATCCTAATCCAACGTCCCATTTTGTATGATTTAAAGGTATGGTACGTACAGTGCAGTTGTTCCAGTGGGGCCACTAGTAGCGCAAAAGATTATTAAAAATAGAAACACTCTATAAACAATCATACATGGTAATACATAAGGGAAACTATAAATTTTAGACATGGGACTCAACCTAGTTGATTGCACAAACACAAACACATATAAAAGAATAAAGTTCTATTTATTTATTAATTATTTCAATGCCATATATACCGAGAGCCAAATCTTTCCCCATTGAGGTATTGCTGCTGCACTTCCATGAGACAAAATCCATGCTTGTCCTTTGGTTAAAGCGTCGTGCGTACACACCTCCCCGAGAAGTCTTAAGGTAACATAGTTTAAGCATGAGCTAAACATGGTGCTTGGTCCTAACACTTGCATGCCCCAACCACCATCTTCATTCTACATGGAATATATTACAGAAAAAACTTTTATTAATTGTGTTTACCTGTAGAAAAAAATACTGCTTGTTCAACCAAATACGTTAACTACAAAGTAACTAAGCTTTAGTTGTCATGCCTGATGGTTGTAAATATAGCGACAGATCTCATATCGATGTTCTGTTGATAAAACAGTATTGAGTGATCCAGTGACATATAGTGCAAATACCTGCAGAAAATACAGAACTTTCATTACTTACGTATTTTTTTTCTTTTTAAAAGGTACCTATATGAGTTATATAAAGCTAAAAGAGAGTGAGAACAAAAGACGTGCATAGCCAACTTTTACAAACGAAATGACTTAAGATCATTTATTTAATCACCAATGATATTTGCAAACGATCAGTTGGTTGGGTTTCCTGTGGGGGAACCTACCCACCCGGGTTCAAGTCCTCGACTTGACACGGGTGCTCGTATTTTTCTAGATTTATTCTAGGATTTAATGGCACTATGCTTTTAGTGGTAGGCGACGTCCCTGTTGACAGCGAGGCGCCTGTGGTGACTTCGTGAATCTCAAGATTTGTCGGCTCAGTCCTTCAGAGGTGCTCATAGGGGTAGGGTTTGCGTACATGTGTTCATATGGGTGAGTGCGCGTGCGTGTTGTGAGCGTCTACATTGCACTGTGTAATTCTAAAAAAAATCACCAATGATATTTAATTACTAATGATTATATATGGAAAACTAACTTATTCACTAACCACATGAAAATAGAACTTTGTACCAAAATGGTTTTTGCCCATGATATTTACGCTGCCAGTTTTATTAAAATCACCAATATATCACTTCGGCTCGGAAAAAAAACTGCTAGACAAGTATAGATGTCCATGCAGCCCGCAGCCCGGTGGCCCGGCTCGAAGCACGGTTTCTTGGCCGAGGCACATGTTTTTTTTTTAATTTTTTTATTTGATTATCACGGTCAGTTGCAAATTGACGGTGATAATCTTCATTTTACCACCGGTTTGCAAGACCGACTGTGATTGGAGATCCCCAACCTGGGGCGATGATGCTTATGTAGTTGTGCATCCTTAATATGATTCAAATATACATAGTTGTTGCAAATTAAAAGAAAACACGTACCAGAATAGGCATAATGAACATGACACCACTATAATCACAAGGCCAGTGACCATCATGTGCTTGTAGAGTAGAATATTGGGCAAGGGCTCGCCTCATTGATGCTAATATAGTCTCTTCCGTTACTTCGGCACTATGTGCAAGTTTGATGACCGGAACATCCACTTGAACATTGTTTTGTTTTGCATACTGCATTACATATATACAATTATATACCGTGAGAATTTAATGGTACATGTCATGCCTCTTTTAAATTAGTGCACGTCATAATAGTGCAGACAGAATATTGTAGACATGTTCTTAAGTTTTAGCTACTGATATTCCACTTTGACCGTTATGTTATTGCTACTCTTAGAGTTCTGCCAAGTGCCAACAATATCTCTATGGGTTCAGCTTTGGATAAATATAAGTCAGAACTGCAGTATTTTTCAATATTCCAAAAATGTGCATCCATACAAGGCCTTGTTTATCCTGGGCAACACACCTAAAACAAGTGTATATATGGTGGAATATTTCAGTGGAATTATTTCCAGTGTTTCCTGTCATTGTCATAACTGCAAAGGGTACTGGTTTGACCAGGTATTATGTTCTTGTAAAACATGTGAATGAAAAATACATAAATTTCAAATTCTATTATGCTTGTTATTACCTGCATGCGCAAAAGGAGATCCTGCGCCACCTTCTTCTGGTAACGGTTCTCTGTGAACTCCTTCCTCAGTCTCTCAATCTCAGCGAGCTCATCCTGGCTCCCAGCGTCGGGGTCAAACTCCCATACCTGCCTGCCGATGAATTTATTCGCCGACCGCAGCCATGGCCCGCCGCCCTCGCCGATCTTCAGCCTCCACATGAGCTGCCCAGTCAGTGATGCTCAATGTTGCTTTCAAAGGCTAGGCGACCTTGCAAATGTCAAACTAACTAGCAGAACTTGTGTGCTTCAGGAGGCATATGATGGTAGACTTTATAGGGGTCGAGAGTGGCCGCAGTTACCTTAACAAGTATTTTGAGAGGGCAATGCAACCTGGATACTTATGACCCTGAACTAGTTTTGAGCCTTCCGAGCTACACTATAGAACATTTTGGTCAATGATATGATGTCCGTGTTCCAGGTTTTTGTATTGTTTGTTTATCTGGCATGTTAGTTAGAGAAATCTCTTGTGTACTGGATCAGAGTGCGACGAGCTTATGCAATTTTTGCTGTGATGTTATCCTCTTAACCAATTTTTCTGTCACTCAGTCCCATTACCGCAATATCCACTGCCGCTGCACATTTACCCATACATGAATCATGCTTGGCTTACACCTGAGCCTCGTTTTCCTAATAAAATGTTGTAGTCCCAAAACTTGCAAGTCTCTGTCGTGAGGGAAATAATTGCATGGCCCTAGTATATTTCAACTTGTGCCCCCTTTTTTTTTAAGAAAAGGACGGCAGGATGTTTACCTCAAATGCAGTAGTTTATAGGAAGAATAGGAATAGAGAACAACAAGAGATATCAGCTACTAGCTCACACCCAGTAAGAACTACCAGGAGAAGGGAAGAAAAAAAAAGAGACTATTTAAAAACACCACTATATACCGGGCTAAAACACGAGAAGCCGATGCAAAGACCAAAGTTAAAGGCGCCCAACTAATAAAACAAGCGGGAAAAAGAAAAGCCAAACAAAGAACCTGTTTGGATACTAAGTGCTAATTGGTAGTAGTTAGCTTAAAATCAGTTTAGATCTAGTATATAATATCCAAATAAGATGGCTATTGGTGGACCAATTTTTACCCAAGTCTTCTAGCCAGCTAGCTAGCCAACTACAACTATTGGTTGTAACTCATTTTGCGTTCTTTTCAGATATGCCATCAGAAGTAGATCATAATACCATGTAAGGACTTTTCTGTGATAGTTCTATGTTCTGAGAATTTTTATAAGAGTTGTTTTACAATGGTTGTGAAAGTACCATGGTACCTCTAGGTACTTTTATTTTTTTTATTTTCTTTGCTAATTAATTGAGGAAGATTATTTATAAAATATAATTTGTATTATAGAGGTATTTTGGTAACACGGTGGCCTCTCACGTGTTTTTTCAGATTATTAGGATTAGCCACACCCACGAATGCACCTTGCTCGGCTCTGTCGAAGGCCGCCGCACCCTGAACTCCCGATAGCTCGTCATCGCCACCGCCGCCGTTAGGCGCTCCTCTCTAGATCCGCACTGAAGAGCTCAGGGCACCGCCGCTAGGCGCTCTTCCCTCGATTAACGGATTCAGGGGATCGGACATCGTGTATCGGGATTCAGGGCGTTGCAGCTGCAACAGCCTACGAGCAACGGAGGTTGGCTCCTCATCGTCTTGGGTCGTGGCTGCACTGGAGGTGTCTTCACCCCCAACAGCAAGGTGCTCACGCCGTCAGGCCCCATCGATGTTGATTCATGGCGCTCTGCCGTGGGCGCCTAAGCACAGCAGGCTGAACATTCAGTTGTGTTCAGGGAAACATGAACAAGTCAAAAAACATTCAGCAAGGTCTAGTCGTGAAAATATTGATGGTCCAGTAGCTGTCCTTGACAAACACTAAGGCGCTTTTTTGATCTTTGGAATCGAATTCATTTTAATAATCATAATTTAGACACATATTAATTAAGCTAATATGGTTGTATATAGATAATATTTGTATATTATTGTTGGTTACACAAGAGAGATACTTATGTGTTCCATTTCTATCATAGAAGAGTGAGTGAAAAGCATGTTATAAGTTGCAAAGTGGAAACATAGAATGGTGATCTATAGAATCAATTTTCATCTCTCACCCTATGAATTTGAAATATGCTTATATGTGAACTTTGAAAAGTCATGGGACGTCAAATTCCAGGTCAAATAGCCTAATTTATTAAGTAGATTTCAATTACTCCAAATAAAAGGATCCAAACGGCCCTAGGATTGCTCGAGTCTAGCAGCTGCATAAAGGTGCCCCTTACTGGAGATATTGATGGTCCAGACCGTGGACAATCAAGCTGGGCACATCCGTGGGGTGGTGGGCGTGGGCGTCGGCATCGGGGAAAAGGAAGCCAGCGAGCTACGATTGTTGCGCTGGGCAGTGCTGGAGACGGCGGCGAATGCCAAGGCCGGCCCGCCCAAGCTCGCTTTCCTCTCCAGGGACTTCCCCACGTTTGCGGACGGAGGGACAGAGACGGACGCGCGGCGGCGACGGTATGATTGCTCCCGATGGGGAGAAAAAACAACGAGTGTCTAAGTGAGCACACGTCAAATTGAGAAGAAAGAATGGTCCGGGTGCTTCTAGTTTTGGCCTTCAATGACTATACTGAAATTTACCAAATTATCCTTATCATAAATAAAATAAATTCAGAAAATATGGAATTGGTCCACCTACTTTGGTACTTGGTCGCACCTATTTCGGTACTATCCTCACTAATTTGGTACTTCTAAGTACTTTCATATTGGTACCTCTTATTTTTACACCATCCGATCTTGTCATGTGGATGGTTCATATTTTTTTCAACCATTATAAAAATTCTCTTTTTATAATAGAAGGAAAAAATATAGACCATCTATAAGAAGAAACCGAACGGTTTAAATATATAGGATGTACCAAAATGAAATTACTTAAAGTACAAAAAGATAGATACCATACCAAAATAGGTGGGAATAGTATTAAAATAGATAGAATCCGATCTAGTTTTTTATTACTTAATTATGTTTAGTTGACGGTAAAACGGGAATGTCCATCCCATGCATGTCCCCATGCATGTCCATCACCGTGAGAGCTTGGCGGTGACACTGTTGACCCCCTCTTCCTCCTCCTCTTCGCTGTCACCCTCGTGCGCACGGCCTTGCCGTGTGCATGTGCGGTTACCTTTGGCCCATGCCCCTGTGCCGCCTCTAGCTTGCACGAGCTGGTTCTGAGTTCTGACAAGTGAGCACTGCAGGTCACGAGCTGCGGTGCCAAGAAATGAACTGTTAGCAGCCAGAACTTTTTCTGGAGTATAGTCCAAGCAAGCAAGCAATGATTCTGATCTGTCGGCTTTGCAAAGTACTAGCATATATAATCTTGATTTTGCTATATAGGTCCCATGAACTGAATCTGACAAGCACTATGCATGGAGTACACCCCATCTGAGGTCCGCCTCCACCTCCACCCCATTTGGTTCTGTTGACAGGTGAAATGTCTATTTCAGCATGGAAAATGAGACAGAGTAGTCTAGTCTCTAGATATCCGTGGGATCTGAGCTTATCAAGTTCAACCTTGCACGTTTAAACGTGTGTTTAGTTTAAGAAATATGGTGGTCTATCTTCTTCTCGTGTCTTGCTTTTTTTTGTGGCATGGAATGGGTTCATTCCTTAATCTCATCTTGCATGGCGGTTGGCGGTGTTGGAGTGTCGAATTTTTTATGTGCTTTAGGGCCTGTATACAAAATAATATAGCACTGGTCATCTAGTCATAAGAAACTATGTTTGTGTGGTGAAAAGGAGGGGTCACGCGGGCCTTCAGTTCACGGTTTTAAATCATCAAGGTAGTGTGGTAGTTGCTCAAGTATGAAAAAAATATTTCTATTTTTTTGTGCTTTTATCTATTCTTTTGCACTTTTTTGATAGATACCTAGGAGTGGACGACTGCCCTATAAATGAATTTCTAGGGACAAATCATATGGAGGCCATTTTCAGGGACAGTTGTAGACCAATCTCTTAAATACTTTACATCAAAAAACATTTGCTTACTGACCATTGGAAAAAAAATTGCACCAAGAAAAACTTTTTAGTGGTAGCAATGTATATGAATCCAATGAGGAGAGATGGTTCAAAGAAACTAGTGGGGGCAACAAAAATACTGTCTCAAGGTGATGTTGAAGTTGGAACACTATCGTGTACTAAAAGTAAAGATCTCAGAGATTGTAGCAACCAGTTTTAAGAACAAAACCAAATACACACCATATGTGAGTCCAGGAAGTCAAATCTCACATATAACTACAAATAAGGGAAATATCAAAGGACAAATGCTCAATATATAATGTATTTAGTATAAAAGGTATTATCTTAGGCAGCAAACAGCGGAAAGACAACTCCGGTCTTCGGGTGAAGACTCCAATTTCACAGGGACAACTGACTGGTTGATCACAAGCCTAATTCCTCCAAACTCTAGCAAACTGGTACCCATCCGGGATTTTTTCAAATATTTGAAAAGTAAAGCAAGCGTAAGTACATGTTGTACTCAACAAATATAACATGGGGTTCATGAGGCACAAAAGGCTGACACTGTTTAACTGCGATTAGCTTTCAATTGTCACAATTTTAGCAAATGAGTAGCAACAAGTTTATCACAAGCCCATATGAACACATGATCAGCTAAACATGAATAATGAATATTATAAACAAATAATCATTAGTGAGCATCTTAATCATCTGTATCATCAGTGTTCATCATCTATTCTGTAAGGGTTCCAAGGCCGCTCGTGACCATGAGCACGGCTGATATACCAGTTTTACACTCTACAGAGGTTGTACACTTTCACTGTGAGTCATGATTTACCCTTTCGCCCGAGGTCGTGCGCCTCTTAACCCACTATCAAGGAAGGTCGGCAGGGTTCACTATGAAGCCTTTTAAAGGTTCGTCTAACAAGTTAGGGCCGCTAAGGTTTTCCCATCAATAAGCATAAACCCCCCTCCAAGGAGTGACTAACAAAATACAAAGAAACCAAAGTGCACCCTCTTGGCAGGCTGAGATCATAAAAATCGGAACCCCTCTTGTGTCATAAAGGTAACCACTAACAAGCTAGAATATATCCTCGTACTGAGCTAAAGCCAGAGCCATATAGCCCTCACAGCTGTACTATAAGTCCCGGATGATCACTT